TGCACATAAAATGTTTCACAATTTTGGTGTAACATGCTGCGCGCGCACCCTGCGCACCCTGAATTTCCAACACTGGTTAGCACCGTTAACCATCAGTCTTGACATTACAAATTTCAGAATACATATCAAATCGTAATCTATATTAATATATTTATGTGTAACGATGAAATAACTATGCTGTCGTCAGAGTTTCCAGCTGCTCTAGAGAGTATCTATATTTACTTTCCTCTCCAGGTGAGACTCATGACTAAAGTCCCAATTCGTTTTATTCGAATAAACATTCAATGCAATTCGAATACTCAAATCCATAACGAATGAAACAAATAATTCTTATTCGAATAGAAACCCCACACACTATGACTATTTGTTAGAAAAATTAAATTACTATTATTATTATAAAAAGCCTAATTACTACAACTATTATTATTAATTGACTAAAGAAAAGAGAACAAAAAATGCCAATGACTTTTGTTACTGCAAGAACTATGAAATTGAGATTGGACAGTATATATCGCAATTTCATTAAAAATATCATTGGTCGATCTAAAAGAAAAATTTTCTTATCAGAAAAAAAACCAACCATTCATTCCTCTCAAAAAACACAACACTCGTATCAGAATAAAAGATAATAATAATAATAAAGAGTAATAGCAATAGCGAACTAATAATAATAATAATGGCAGTGAACTAAGAGATGTATCGTTTAATAATATTAATAATATTAATAGTAGAAGTGATAGTATTAACAATTAATAATTAACAAAATAATAGTAGTAATAATAATAACAGTAGTAGTAGTAATAGTAATAACAGTAGTAGTAGTATAATAACAGTAGTAGTAATAATAATAACAGTAGTAATAGTAATAATAATAACAGTAGTAGTATTAGTAGTAATAACAGTAGTAGTAGTAATAATAACAGTAGTAGTAGTAATAATAACAGTAGTAGTGGTAATAATTATAGTAATAACATGTAGAGTTTGTAAAAAATATTCTTTTTTTTTAAAAAAAGAAAATTCAATGATTTTTTGTTAGATTTTGTTAAAATTATTTGATAAATTTATTCAAGACACAAATAGGGAAATGCTTAGTGTGCTCATTTCCACCTTTTCAGGATATGGTATTTTTAACCTTGCAGCTAAACTTGGTTCCAAATTTTTAGATAAATTGGATGATGTCGTTGACTATAGAGCAACTTGTAGAACAATAGAGTTATTGTGGGGGAGTTGCTACTGGAATAGCAATTCACCTGTATATAGAAAAAAAAAAATACCAATAAAAAGATATATCACAAGAAGATAACAATGTCCTGAAAGTCTGGTATTTATTCTACAAATGGGCTGGATATTGGGAGGGCCATAAGGTTGACATTAGAAAGGCAATTTCAACATACAGATAGAGAATTTAATAGCTTTTGCTCCAGTAACTGGCAAATATAATTATTATAGAGCAACTGTTAATTTCCTCGCCTACCTCTGTAAAAATCCTGATCAAGTGAATCTCTTGTCAAAAGTATGTTCTGTGAATTTTGTCAAGAGAAGGGAATTTGACGAAGCAATGGAAATATATGGAATAAAATACATTAAGCAAAATATAAGTCGAAATCTTATCTCAAAAGAAAATCTTATGAAGGAAATTAAATCAATGCAATCAAGGAAGGAAAGAATAAATGTGTCTTTTTCTGAATTTTGGGTGACAATGTAACTAATACAAGAAGTGATAAAGTAGTAAAGAGAATCTCTGGTTACTTATAGATGATCTTTACCATTCAATGGCACATTTCCATTGGAAAATTCTTTGTTTAAAGATGTTAAGAAATTTAATGACAAAGGAACTATGTTAATGAAGAGAAATGGAAGTTATAATTATTTTATTTATATAAATATTCTTTTTCCCTTAACATACGATATATTTAATAAATAAACATCATGTATAATTTTCAATTTTTATTAATTGGGATAGTATTTTGCTGCCGTTCGTCAATTAAACATTTTATATATATATATATATACATATGTATATATATATTGCTCAAGTAATAATCATTAATGAAACTTTAATCATAAACTATTCCTAAAAAACAATCTTCTTTTAACATCCATATCTTATATCACCGTCAGATCCTGTCTGTTACGATAAATAATTAAATGAATAAAGTCGGATATATAAAACAATCATTAAGAAGTAAATTCCTTTTAATTTAATCAAAAATAATAATGTTTTTATGTATTACCATTATTGTCTTCAATATACTTGGCTCTTTCGTTTGTTAAACGGTAAAGAAATCATTGACATAACTATCGAAGCGTTTATAAAATGCTTTTTGTGAATTTCTCTAAAACTTATAATCACCACTCCCCATAAAGCAATGACCATATGAAATCTTGGAGTATTTTACACGCTATCAAGTCTTTTAAATCGATATTGAAAAATAATCTCAGTTATGAAGCGAACCATTTTTGAATAGCTGCGGATTTAACAATTGTTGAAATTCTTTGTCTTGGCAACAAAGTTGTAATTATTAATTATTCACAGCATTGTTGAATTCTTGATAAAAGTACGGCGACACTAAAATTGCAAACAAAATCGTTAGCATGGCGTGATCATGTAGTACAAATCGACAGTACAATAGTAATTGTAAATAAATTGCTATTCGGATAAATCCCTACTGCCGTTGGAATAACAATTACTAATACTAATACTCTTATTATTAACGAAAAACGAAGTCTCTAGATGATTTGTAATTGATGAATAATACAAAGATGATGAATTAATTATTGTTTTATGATGTAAATATAAATTGAGAAAATATAAAAGGCATGAAATTTCCCTTTTCCAAAAGAATTAAATCAAAAATAATAATTAATAATAACAGCTAGAGAAAATGTCTTCAACAAACACTCCACAAATTACTCTCTACACTGCCGCAACTCCAAATGTAATTAATTAAAGATCTTATCCTAATTTTATTCTGTAATAATTCTCATTTAACGCTCAAATAAAAATGTTTATTTTTAAGGGTTATAAAATTAGTGTTTTTCTTGAAGAATTAGGGATACCTTATAAAGTTATTCCAATCAATATCACGACTGGTGAACAAAAAGAACCCTGGTTCTTAAAAATTAATCCAAATGGAAGGTTGGTTAAGACTCTTCCCCTGTTTCATAATTTATAATTTTTCATCCACTAAATTTTTTTATAATTAAATTAAATTAAATTCATTAGAATTCCTGCAATCGTTGATCACTCAAGAAACGATTTCAAAGTTTTTGAAAGTGGTGCTATCTTGATTTATCTTGCAGAACATTATGACAAAGAAAATAAATTTTTGCCAAAAGATGACAATTTAAGAAGCGAAAGTTATCCAATGGGTAAGCTTCTTTTCCTCTATATATATTTTGTTAATATCATGTGATGAGTTATATTTAACATTTACTTGTTATTATAATTATTATTTGCTTAGTTAATGTTCCAAATGGCTGGCGTTGGTAAATATAATAATCTCCTTTTTTTACGATATTTTTTGTGTGCATATATTCAATAATTAAAGTGAATAATTCATTCATACACTCCAAATTTAATCAGGCCCAATGCAAGGACAAGCTAATCATTTCTCACGTTTTGCCAAAGAAAAAATACCTTACGCAATTCAAAGATATCAAGATGAAACAAAACGTTTATACAAAGTAAATATTGAAGATCGAAAATTCAAATAAGAAAATTATTAGTTGACTAATTAAATTAATCTCTAAATAATTTATAGGTATTAGATGATAGGTTACAGGGTAGAGAATATTTAGTCGGTGATCATCTATCAATTGCAGATATTGTTCATTTTCCTTGGATTAAAACTCACGAGTTTTCGGGAGTTGCTATTGACGAATTTACCAATTTAAAAGCTTGGTTGGAACGAATTGCTTCTAGACCTGCTGTTGAAAAAGGTTATAATGTTGTACCACGAAAATAAATTGCACAAAAAAGATTTTCTATATATTATACATATCTATATCTCATATTTCAATATCTTGTATTTTACACAATAATAAATAATTTTCATTGTTGCACTAAAATTAAAAATCCACCTTCTCTAAAAGCCATATGCGTGTATTAATATACATCATATTTGTCATCTGTGTATTATATATGTTTATTTGTTTGTTTTGTTTTTAAACAAAAAAAGTTTGAAGCGTTGTGTAATGTATGTCACAAGAAATTTCAGGGATCGAAACCAGTTCAAGTGTGCATATCACATTACACGATTAGTATTGTTCCGCAGTGAGATTCTAAATTTGTATATGCTAGTCACATGACGAATTCACTATAAATTTATTCTTTTCAAAGTAGTCGAAATCTTGGACAAAAGGTGTTAATTATTATGTTTCACTATAATGGTGTGCTATTAGTGTAGCTTATTGCATATTTTTTTAGTAGGAAGTTTCCATGCTAATGTTTCTAATGATCGGCGTATTATAATATGTCAATCACAGATGCGCTTACAACAAGATGATGGGAGGGTAAAAGTAGGAGTAACAACAACAATATTAACATCGGTTTTGAGCATATGAAGACTATCACAGAGTAGATGGAGGAATCATAGTAACAATAAATGCAAGGATGTCAAATTTTAATTAATGAACCAAATATGTAAATTTTTTCAGAAAAAAGAAAATTAATTTTCACCCGTTCAATATATAGCGCGTTAAAGGAGTAGTATTAGTTTTAAAATATGATTCACAAGTTTCATAAATTCGTAAATTCCTTTTTCGTCATTAAGTTTACCACCCTAAGGTAACTAACTATATTTGGTGGAAATATAAAATTCTTTTTAGGAGCCCCGTCCTCCCTTATCAAATTGCTTAGTATTACTATGCCATCATTTTGGCAATCTAACGATTTTTTAAATCACATTATTAAAAAATTTGATCCCCTGTAATCTTCTGTGACAACAACATAATAATAATGTTTGTCTGTCTGTAAACAACAAATAGCCAGCCAATCAATTAAAGATTTTAATTCTATTAAAAATTTATTTTTAAAAAATTTTCTATTCTTTCTTTTATTTTTTTCATTATTGCTGAATTATGGCAACAATGTCTCTTTTAAAATGGCTTGTAATGGTATGTTTAAAACAATTTGTTTTTGGCTTGGTTTAACATTTTATTTTTAAAAAACCACGGTGTATGTCAATACATGGATAAAATGCAGTAGTAGTAGACTAAATGTTCGCATCGTGGAAACCATTTTATAATTAATAATGCTACACATACTTAAAGATCTATTTTTCTTTATTTGGTTTTTTATTTTTATTATATTTAATAGGGATCTGGAAAACAAACAACAAACGAAACATGGAATAATGGCTCAGAAAAATATTTCGGTTTGGAAAACGTAAGCTTTAATTGTTAATTAATTAATTAATTAATTAATTAATTATTGATGACTCTTCATTCCAATGTGATTTCGAGTACGTGGCATATCATGATTTGATTTGTTGTATTTTATAACGTTATAAAGTGTTTTATGTTGTGGTATGAAAATCAACCTTTCAATTGAGAAACTTTTAAGAAAAAAAAAATCGAGTAAATAAATTGAAGAAAAAAAAAACGAGACAAACTTCAAACAAAATATAAACATAATAATTAGTTAGTTACCTTTTATTTGACGAGGAAGAAGATAGAGAAGATGCGCTAAACATCGAAATGAATAACGCCATAAAGAATAATAAAACTCCCTCATAAATACTATGAGCTGTTGTTGTCAATATTGGAAGAATGTTAACATCTTTAGTGTTTGAGATGGACCAAAGTGAGTTATAATGTTGTGACATTTTTGATATTTTTTAAATAAATAAATAATACAATATTAAAGATGTTTTCTTTTTTTTATATCACGCAGTCTTTTTTAAAAAATAAAAAATCCTTGAGAAAAATAAATTTTGAAAGTAGTTGTAGTAGTAGTAGTTTTATTAATAATAATAAAACAGTAATAAAAGATAAAAAAAAAAAAAAAAGAAATAAAATAAAATAAAATGTGATTTTTTTATTTATTAAATAATTTTGTTTGACGAAAAGAAAAATGTAAAATTGTGTGAAAACATATTCGTGTGCTTTTATAATTTAAATTTTTCTTATAAATAAATAAAATAAAAATAAAGATTATATATATTCTTTGTTTAATTAATTTAAATTTGTTGTATAAATAAAAAATAAAATAAAATACACTAATACTAACTGTTGCATGAGGAAGATATTACCTGTTTTTTTTTATTATAATTTAATAAACTGATATGACTTATTGATAATGCAAAATTGTTAATTAAGTGCGGAGAAAAATAAGTCACACTAAAAACTCATCATCATAAACTATATTGATATATTGAATACTTTTTTGGTAAATACGATTAAAAAAAATAAAATTAAAGTTTTTAATTAATGTTTATTTATTATTTAAAAGTTTTAGCACGGTCGGTGTGTTGGGCGATGGAAATATTCCAACTGCGTGTAATTAATTATTCCGGTTGCGGATTATTAATATTATATCATCGATTAATTTGTTAAGTGATTTTAGTTGTCAACTATTATGTCAGTAATGATAATAATAATTAGTCGGTTATTAAAATTCCCACATTAGACAAATTATTCATTTTATTTATTTTTATCCTCATACACCTAACTAACTAACTAATACACACTACTTTGACCTATATATCTAACTGACTGACTGATTAAAGTGCTGATAAGGTAGTTGGTATTAAAATTACACATTAATATTATAATTATTAATATTATAATTATTAATATTATAATTATTAATATTGTTAATTTTAGATTTTCCATTTTGCCATTTCCATTTCATCTTTCTTTCATTTATTTGCCACCCTAATTCTGTCATATAAACATTGATATTACATTATCTAGATATCTATCATCTCCCAAAAATAACAAAAAGATTTCCCAATTAATATAATTATTGCTGCACCATTATTTAATTAAAAAAAAATCTTCATATGTTTTAAGATAAATATTTATTAATTATTTCCAATTATTGAATTGTTTGCCAAATTTGTCCATAAAAAAATCCATAAAATTAAAATTAAAATCTAAAATACTATAAATACCATATACATGCACACGTTTTAGAATAAATAATAATAATAACAATAATAATAAATAATAAATAACCAAAGAAAATTTGTGTGATCGTCCAACAAAATTTTGAATGCGACGTAATAGCAATAATTTGATCATAATCATAATCAATCTAAAAATATCGTTATCCCCTTTCTCTCTTTATTATTATTATTATTATTATTATTATTATTATTTATTACAATAGTAATTATCATTATTAATATTGTGCGTGTATATATGTACGTGTGAAATATAATAAATTGACTGATACACCGATAATAAAATGTGAAAAGGCAAAAATAATGGTTCGATATTGTTTGCAAAGCACAAAAGACCTATTTTGTTTATTTTGTTTATTGTTTGTTTTAATTTCCTTCTTTTCCCGCCTTTTTTGACCGTAGCCATCGTCGCAATTATTAAAAATTGTAACCTTGATAACAAAACTTTTTAATTTGTATGATTTATTTATTAATAAATATTTCATTTCATGTCA